GCAATTTGGGTGGAATGTAAGAAATATCAAAAGTTAAGTTTGTGAAAGAAAAAAAATCACATAAATCATATATATATATATATATGTGTGCGCGCGCACGCACACTCGTGGGCTTTTGCTAGAAGATTTGTGGTGATATGAGAGAACTTAATGTCTTAGCAATGTACAAAGATCCAATACATGCATACATATTAAAAAAGGCTGCAAAAAATATCATAGTTTTTACGTGGAAAATCTAAAGAATGAAAAAACCCACCTAATCTAGCTTAGTTGAAATGATTCTACTAGTGTTTCTCATTAGTTACAAATAATATCTTATGACTAGGGGATGTATTGATTTAATATATCATACAAAAATTATGTATAACGAAATTTCATCGATGCTAATAGAGACGGCGAGCAACAAAGTCAATAGGCATCAGCGTATTCATGCAATAATGTTTAGGAAAATGTAGTAGGGTGATAGTGGTTAGGATATCATAGTTTGATGATAACGGTTAAGAGATTGTAATTGGACTATAATGATTAGAAGATCATAATCAGACTATAGTGGTGGTTGGAGAACCAAAGTCAGATGACGATGGACGAAGAATCATAATCGGGTGATTGTGTTCCAAGGACCATGATTAAGTGGCGATGGTCGGATGAGCGTAATCGTGCAACAGTGGTAAACGGATTGTAGTTAAGTGACAATAGTTGGAAACTAGAGTCAAGCAATGATGTTTCAGAGATCCTAATCGAGCAATGATGGACGAAAGATAAGAGTTAGGTGTTGATGATGAGAAGATCACTGTTGCACAACGATTTTCGAAAGACTCATTAGTCTTGCTAGAAGTTGTTTGACTAGTAGTTTAATATACATATACTATTAAGAACGTTGATCAATCACTTGTATTAGAGTTTACACATTGAGCTGAATTTGCGTTTGAGGTAGAGACTTAGGCTTCGTTTGGGACGGCTTTTTAATTGCTTTCTAAAACGGAGTTTTAGTACAAAATTAAAAAATTTGTACTAAAACTCCGTTTTAGAAAGCAATAAAAAAGCCGTCCCAAACGAAGTCTTAGGCTTTGTTTGTGACGGCTTTTTTACTGCTTTCTAAAACGGAGTTTCAATACAAAAATAAAAAAATTTGTACTAAAACTCCGTTTTAGAAAGCAATAAAAAAGCCGTCCCAAACTTGTAAATAGTCTCGTAATTAAATCTACTTATCCTTTAAGCTAAATTTATCGATGTTTATTTTAATAATCAAACCATATTTGATAAACCCTAAACCATTTAGAACTATTAATTTCTAGATTTGACACTAATATTTGATATATTTTTTTATAAAAAAAGAAAAATTCTCACCACTCGAATGATCATTAGAAAGCGACTTGAGATGAGCCATGTTCCTATCACATGGAAATTAATTGATATAAATAATTGTTACCTAATCTTTATTGATATGTCATTTTATATCTAATCAAAAAATTTCTATGCCTATGGCTAGTAATTGACAGTGCACTATTGCTTCTACTAATCACGTAGCCTTGATTTTTTCCACCCTTGATGCTGCTGATTTTTTTCTCTTATTTTTTTGTATTGAGTATTGATGCAAATAATATAAAGATGAAATAAAAAAAATCATAAATAAAAAAGAATTGAAGACGGCAAAATAATTAAAATACTTATTTTGAAAAAAAAAATCTGAATGAGAGCAATTACACAACCCAAGCTCCATTACATTTGGAACAGTTTTCTTACTGTTTTGTAAGTAAATTTTTAGTAAAAAAAATTGTTAATTAAAAATTTTTATACTAAAATGTTAGTTAAGAAAATAATAAGAAAGCTATCCCAAACGGTGCACAATTTCACTTTTGAAAAGCAAAATAAAAAATAAAAAAAAAAATAAAGTCTTTTGGATGGCCGAAGTTAAGTGTAAAAATTGAACTAAGAATTTTATAGAAGTTATTTTATTTGTCATCATTTTAGTTTATGTTTTCAAATAGGGAAATTTACATACATACCATTTTATACTATCCTATTTACATATCTAACACCTAAAATTTTAATATTACATACATACCACTCTATTATTTTAATATCAAATATGCCACTCATATTTTCTTCCAATCACTCATATATTTCATTTTTACCACTCATATTTGATATGAAAATGAACTAAGAATGGTATATATGTAATATTAAAGTTTTAGGTGTTAAATATGTAAATAGAGTATTATATGGTGGTATGTATGTAAATCTCCCTTTCAAATATTTTTTTTTAGAAAGTAAATTAAGATAAAAGACGGTACAAATAATTCTTAATTTTCTAACCGACTGTTTTCTTCCACAAAATAGAATAAAAAAGAAATAAAACTAAGCTTACATTTAATTTTATTTCTTTTTATTTTCTATTTTAATTTTTGTTTTGGCCTTTCCAATTAGCCTAAATTAAGGATTTTTACTTTTATAACTTTATTTAACTCATTTTCTTAAATTTAGCCTAACTCATATATTCATTCCATTACATTTAAAAAGTATTATTTGCCAGTTGATTAATTAAGGTTAATTAAACTTTTTTTACTTTATATTAAGTTAATTAAGCTCTCTTTTTTTTCTTTTCCATTGTTTTGTGGGATTCTTTTACTCGATTTTACTCCTTTTCAAGCTCTTCCTATGCTTTATTATTATTTGATTAGCATACAAATAAATAATTCAATCTTATTTAGCCCATTATTTATTTATTGTCCACTCTAATTCGAATAAGGCTAACACGGACATTATCACGAAAAAATTTAAATTCAATGCAAATATACATATATTAATAAGAGCTAAACAATAATACAAGCAACTCTAATCTTTTACACCCCAACCCATCTATTTTAAAATTCTTAATCTATGAATAATCAAACAATCTTAAGCATTTTTAAGATCAATCGTTTTATAATCCTGAAAAAAAATTGAATTATTTTGATATTTCATGTGATGGACATAAAAAAAATGTGTATCGATAGAGATTATTCATATCATGATGTTCCTCATTATTTTATTTTTTTTGGAAGTATTTAGACAAATCGAACATGGAACATGGATCGCATGATATGAAAGCCAACACTGCATCATTAAGTTGCATACCAATAGTGCTCCAGGTGGATTTATAAAATTCAAATGCGTAATCGTCTAGGCCAGGCGCGCAGAACAAGAGGGAGCAGAGAAGATAATACCTTTAATTTTTCCATAATTAAAGGAGGCACGAGCGAGGATAACATATGAGTGAAAAATTATTCTATAAAGACGTCGAACGCCATCCGGAGACCAACCAGAATGCGCCACATCACAAGAAGAGTGGCAGTTAGAGAGCTTAAAGGTTAATATTCTTCAAGGCAACATTCAACTCAGGATCTACCGGATGGTTTTGAATTGGGGAGAGGAAAAAGAGTTTTACAGAGAAAAAAGCTTCTCTAATTAGCTCTTATATAAGATCTAAATCCTTAAATCTTATATAAGAGCATCAAAAGACTCGTACTACCATTAACTATGATAATCAACATATTAAAAACAAAGTCTATAATAATAGAGAAATATTAGTTAGGAATACATATAAAAAAATTTGTCAACATATCATGATACAAAACATTAAAACACATTAGAATGGACTTCAAAGTCTTTGGATTTATGTTGATATTACCGTCATTCTGAATATCATAAACAATACTAATCTTAACGCAAATCTAAATCTAATGACCTTAAAGATCAAAATGATGGGTTATGTATAAAGATATTCTAATATAATTTGTTTTCTAATAAATATGAAAAACTAAATGATTGATGAATCATTGATGATGAATTGATAACAATGGTAGAATGATGACGGTTTGGCTGTCACCTTCACCAAAGTTTTGCCAGTCCCTTGTTAGGTATGGCAATTTTATTATTTCACATCATACAATATAAAGAAAATTCAAAAATTCTTAAGGAAAGGTCATACCCCTTTCCCCAAAGATATCTACCTCTGCTTGCTAGCAACTGGGCATCAGTCATTCAACATCATCGATCAATAACCCACTTTTGATAAATGCCAATAGTTTCACTGCCAAAACTAGTGATGAAATGGAAGAGGTAGGGCTGCAAATGAACCAAGCCGAATCGAGTATGTGAGTGTTCATGTTTGAGTTCGTTTATTATTATTAGCTTGTTCAAGTTCGGTTCGTGTTTAATTCGAGATTTATTGTTTGTGTTTATGTTTGGGTTCGTTTAAATTAATGGTGTCCATGTTTGGTTCATTTTCGATTCGTTTAGTGCTTATCGAGCTTTAAAAAAACAAGCCTTAACGAGCTATGTTTGTGAACATATTTAGCGAATTTTTTTACGCTGTCAAACAAGCACGATCATGAACAAACCTAATGAGTATTCTTGAGATATCAAATGAGCAATATCATGAATATATGTATAACTAGTATTTCCGAGCTAACAAATGAGCTCATTCATGAACAAATGATCTATTATTCATTTTATATTTATTCATGAACATCTTAAACAAACAATCTAGCAAATATTGACAAATGTGAAATATCTCTTATTCATGAACAAATTCATTATATTGAAGGTATAAAATAAAATTTATAATAAAAGTTGTTGTCTATTTAAAATAAAAATATGATTAATCTATACGAATACATTTATTGAGTCTATTCACAAGTTCTAAATCAAACACAAATCGAGCTTTTATCGAACTTGTTCACGAGCTTCAAAAGATGTTGTTCATGAACATAAACGGACCGAACACATTAGTGTTCAAGCTTGTTTATTTAAGATCGAGTTTTAAAAATATTGTTCAAGTTTGTTTGTTTAGTTAGTTAAACAATCACAAACGAGCTTTAATCGAACCGAGCAACGAGTAGCTCGTCGAACGTTTGGTTCGCTTGCAGCCCTAGGAAGAGGAGTTTGATAGGCTCTAAAGTTTCTTTGAGAAAAATCCTATATAAATATGTATCATATGCACTGTTTAGTGGCCTTTGTTAGAGGAAAGACAAATCATTGTCATTCATAAATTTTTAATACATTATTATTTTTCATAACAAAATCATATTGCAGAAAACTCATAAAAATTTCCCTCTAGAGAAAGTACTGTTGGAAACTTAAGCTAAAGATGCCCAAATTAATACCTTGGGTGTAGTTTACCTTACTTGGGAAGGGATCAGTAGGGTACAATTTGTTAAACCAACAGCAAATTCTGATCAACCAGCACATTAAAGCAGGCTCACAGCTTTACTGGCGTGCTGAAAGAGCAGATATCCAATCTATCCAGTTAACCAGAGCACCTCTAACAGACAAGTAAGAAAATAAGTATATTCAAATTTACATCTGAATTTATGGATGCCAATGAATTACAGCACTTGCATTAAATTAGTTCATAGAATATCTTTAAATTAAAAAAGAAATTTAACATTTCTATTTCAGAACAAAGGGGAAGAAAACCGCTACAGGTGTAGAAGAAATCACAACAATCCTGTATTCAATTTTACAGGAAAAAAATGTAATTTATCTTACCAGGTTTATGAACTCCTGAAGGAAAGCACAGGATTCATCCAATTTGGAGAACTATTTCCAAAGATTCTGGATCAGAAAACAATAGCACCAACAACAAAAGATGTTAACGGAACAGTTAAGTTGTCATCAAGCTGTGAACTGATTGGCAGCGACTCCACAATTGCAGAAGCTACTGATACAAGAAAGAAAGCCAAGACCAAGCTCCAGCTTTCTACAATATATCCAAATGAAGCGAGGAAATGCATGCACCTGGAATGAAATAGAAGAGATGATAATATTTTTACTGGAATTTGTTTGGTTGATAGAGATATATCGTTTACAGATTGTGCTTACAAAATAGATGCTAAGAAACCTGAAGCTGCCATGGCAATGGTTCCAGCATATGACTTGCTAGGATTGTAAGGCAACTTTTGCTTTCCATACCGTCTTCCCACTATGTCGGCAAAGCCTGAAAGAAGGTATAAATGAAGGTGCTAAGAGAGTTGGAAGAAAGAACAATTTTGCAGCTATGGATATGGCATTTTATGAATACTTGGTATGACAATTCTTGAAAATTATGACAGATATACAAGGATTGAAAAAAAATTATATTCTTTAAAAAAATCTCAGTAAGAAGTATATAATATTATGTGAAATCAAATATCATAAATAGTTGATATATAATTAAAAATCTATCAACCAAATATGAATCTTGATGTATATTTGTGAATTAGAAGGTTTCATGGTCGACTTTAGAACCATCTAACTTCAGTTTTCAACAAACTTATAGTTGTGGTTAACGTTTCTATGAGAAAAATCAACGAAACCAAAATTGAATTAATCCCAATCCAAATTAGCCTAAATCAAGGTTCAAAGCATAATTGAAAATTTCGTGACCCTATTTGATGAATGGGAGAATGTGTAAATTGGGGAGAACATAATAATCTGAAAAAATTCTAGAGCACTTCCAAACAATCACCACTAACAACTTTCATCTCCCCATTATCATCACCTGACCTAATCATTGTTGTTTGATCGTTGTTACCTAATCATCGTTGCCTAACCGTCATTGTCCAACTACCTTTACCCAACTATCATTATCTCCTCTAACCAAAGCCAACATTGGCAGTCTCCTAGCCGCTAAATGACGCTAATGTCTATCATGTTTTATTGCTTCTCTAATATTTACCACCACATTCACAAGAAGCCAAGCCGACCATTCAGATATTGCAATCTCAGCTTTTTTATTACAGAGACGAGCAACCTTTTATAATCTCCAAATACATGATGCATTATTTTATTTGAATCATACTCATGATTTTTTTTTTAGATTTTCAACTTAAAAGCCCTTGTGTCTGTTTTTGTGTGCATGGATTTTTGTGCAATACTATGGAATAAAATAATCACTCTACCGCCGTAAAATTTATTGATACGTAACAATTTGACACCATTTGTGAGAACAATCCCATCATTCTACAAAAACTTATCCAAAGAGCGACAAGCATAAAGCCAACAACAATGATGATGATAGGACTTGATGATCAAAACAACACACAACAATATAAAAAACACCAACTTACTCCAAATAGATCAAGAAATAACACAAAGAGATGTTTTTACAAATTTCCAAGCAAAACAAGACAAGATACAAGTTGATTCACTGTTCGAGAGGTGAATCATCTCTACCACAATTCCTAGCAGCTACTAGGAACCCAAAACCTCACAAAAACTCCTGCAGAAATTCAAAGCATAACATAAAACCCCAACCCACCATAATTTCCTCTCTTAAACAGCTCAGATCCCCCCTAATAAATGCCCCTTACATCTTTTCCAAAGAGTTTTCTCCTTTCCCAAAAAGTTTCCTCCAAAAGCCTCTTCTCCTATAGGTGATAAAAGAGGTCTTGGGCCCCACCTGGGCAGCTAAACTGCTGCTACCAGCTGTATCAATACTCCCCTCACAAAAAGTCACATTGTCCTCAAGGTGAAAAAAGGGAAATTACTTCTAAATAGTACTGTATGGCTCCCATGTTGCCTCATATTCTAATAAATCCTTCCACTTGATCAACATCTCCTTGATCCCCTTATCTCCTTGGCGAACCCCTTTCACCTCCAATGGTTCTAATATCACCTCCATATCCTCTGACAATGTGGCAAGTAGTGCGAGCGAGGGTGTGTGGTTTCCAATGACTTGCCTTAGTTGTGATACATGAAATACGGGATGAATGACTGAGATTGGTGGCAATCGTAGGCAATATGCTACTGAGCCAATGCGCTCCATTACCTCGTAGGGCCCAAAGTAGTGGTGGAGAGCTTCTCATTCCTTCGTCGAGCCAAAATCCTGTCTGTAAGGTCGAATCTTCAAATAAATCATGTCAACCTTAAACTGCACATCTCTCCTATGTTCATCTACCTGCTTCTTTATTATTTGTTGTGCTCTCTGTAGATGTTCCTTCAATTCTGTCAAAATCTGATCTCTTTCTCTCAAATATTGCTCCACTGATGACACTGGTGTGTTGCCCTGCCCATAATGTATCATATGAGGTGAATCCCTCCCATATATTTTAAATGGTGTTGTCTGGGCTACTGTATGATATGAAGTGTTGTACCAATATTCCACCTAGGCTAACCATTTGGCCCACATCTTTGGTGTATCTGATACAAAGCAATGAAGATAAGTCACAATGCGATTCACCACCTCCGTCTAACCATCCATCTGGGGGTGGTAAGTTGTACTCCTCTTCAGGATAGTCCTCTGCATCTTGAATAACTCCCTTCAGAAGTGGCTCAAAAAGACCTTATCCCGATCAGACACAATGAACTCGGGTATGCCATGCAAACGAATCACCTCTCTAATGAATGCGGTTGCCACTGACACCGCGGTGTAAGGGTGGCGTAAGGGAATGAAATGAGCATATTTGCTCAATCTGTCCACTACCACTAGAATCACAATAAACATGTCTAATCTAGGTAGTCCCTCAATGAAGTTCATAGTCACCTCTTCCCATGCCTTCTTGGGTAAAGCTAACGGCTGTAGAAGACCACCTGGAGCCATAGCTAGATATTTGTGTCTCTGACACAAATCACAACTGGCCACCAACTCGTCTACATCCTTCCGCATGCCCACCAAGTATAACTCTGCTGTCAGTCTATGATATGTCTTCTTAACTCATGAATGCCCCCAATAGCTGTACCATGAAACTCCTGCAACAAATGAGGAATGTATAGCGATTTTCGCGAAAGTACAAATCGTCCCTGGTATAGCAGCTTCTGACCAATCAAAGAATAACTAGGATGGCTATCCTTGTCCTGCAACAAGTTCCCTATGATCTTACTCAGCTCCTCATCCTGCTCGCACTCATGCTTCAAGGCCTCACAATCCACCACCATGGGAATAGATAAAGCCATAACCTGAGGGTCTTCACTACGCCTGGAGAGAGCATCTGCTACTTTATTTTCTAACCCAAGCTTTTACAGAATCTCGAAGTCATAACCCAACTTGGAAAGTCACCGGTGATCTCCTCTATCATCCTCTGCTCTAACAGGAACTTCAAACTTCTTTGGCCGGTCTTGACTATGAAGTGTCACTAAGAACTCGTAGTGGCCTTCATGAGTCCTAAAAGCAGTCTTTTGGATGTCAACGGGCCACATTCTAATCTGATGATATCCCGATTTCATATCAATCTTGGAGAACATCATCGCTCCATATAATTCATCCAACAACTCATTAATGACCGGTATAGGAAACTTATCCAACATTTTTTCCTTCAGAGCCCGCTAATCTACAAAAAACCTTCAACTATCATCCTTCTTCACCAACAACACCGGACTAGAGAAGGGACTAACACTAGGACGAATGATCTAGGTCTCCAACATTTCTTTGATCAGTCTCTCAATTTCATCTTTTTGAACCTGTGGGTACCGATAGTGTCGAACACTAATAGGGGATACTCCCTCCTTCAGGATGATGGCAATGTCATGCTCCCTTAGAGGAGGTAGGCCTTGAGGCAGCTGAAACACATCACTAAATTATTGTAGGAGTAGCTGGACTATCTTTGGAACCTCCTCCTCTTTCCTCATACTTTCTCCTCCCTCGAGGCTCTGGAACTCCACCAAGAATCCCATCCCAGCTCCCTGGATTGCCCTCACTATGGTCTTGAGAGAAACATTAGTTTTGGACAGACTAGGATCCCCTTTGATTCTCACCTTCCTCCCTCTCACCATGAATTTCATAGTCAATGCTTTATAGTCCACCTTAGTTTCCCCCAATGTCTGTAACCACGTCATGCCCAAAATTACATCTGTGCTCCCTAAATCCAAGAGAAGAAAATCCTCCTTCACCTGAATCTCAAGCAGAGTCACCATTAACTCTAGGCATCTGCCTTTACTCTTCTCCATCTTCCTTGTTCCTATCATCACCCCAAAACAACTAGTGTCAACTAGCTTCAGCCCCAATCGGTCCACCACTTGGTTGGAAATGAAGTTGTGGATTGCCCCACTATCCACCAGAACTATCACTGATTCTCCTCCTATCTATCCCCTCAACTTTATTGTGTGATTTGAGATACCCCACCACTGAGTTTAGGGAGACCTCCGCCACATCTAGGAGCAAATGATCCTCGTCAACCACCTTCTCCTTAAGAGTCTCCTCCTCATCACAGACTGTAAGTACCTGGAGTGAACGATCCTTGCAGCGGTGGCCCAACACAAATTTCTCTTCACAACAGAAACACAATACCCTAGCACGCTTCTCTTGAACTTCTGCCTCAGTCAGCCGCTTGAAATTTTCCCCTGGTCGTGTTCCCAATCTCCTATCCTTGGGTACTTCTCTTTGAATGGGCATAGGTTGTACCTTTGGTGCCAAAAAAGTAGTCGTCGTCCGATATGAAGCTCCCAAATTATTGTCTTTGTTGTTTCTCTCAAGTGAGTTTTTGTCCTCCACCAATAGGGCTAGCTCCATAGCCTCTCCCAACCCTCGTAGTCTCAATAACCGAATAGAAACCCTGATTTCTGGCTAAAGTCCCTTCATGAAATTCCCTTCCAACACTGTCTCAGAAAGCCTCCCCAATCGGCTAGAAAGATACTCAAACCTCTCTTGATAATCCATTATTGTCCCTTCCCGAACAAGAGCAAAGAACTGCTCGTAAAAGTCTCCTTCCCGATTGGTTCGGAAACGTTCTAATAAACTATCTCTGAACTCCCTCCACGATCAAATTGGTTCTCTCATGTCTCTCCACTTATGCCAAGACAAGGCCTTCCCCTCCAAGCATAAAGCCGCCACCGTGAGTCTCTCTTCCTCCGTCGGCCCATTCACTGCAAAGTATCTCTCCACCCTATATATCCATCCATGAGCATCTTCAATTTTCTCACTCTCAGATCCCCTCCGCTCCAACTTCCTCTTCAACCTCCTACTCCTCCCATGTAGCGATTGTTGTGATATCTTCATTGTTCTCTCCCACCTCTCCTCCTTTC